ATTTTCGATAAAACTTTATTACATTAAATATGTATATATTAAAAGAGTTTATGTAAAACACTAACACAAATTACCTAAACTCTACCATAAATTAACTATTTTATTTTTTAAAAAACTCTATCACATCTAATATGTATTTATTTATTTATTATGAGTTTTTTTAATAATCGAAAATCTAATTAGAAAAGGATATATTTAGAGAAAATAAAATAATTTTTATAAAACTTTATCACAAATGACAAATTATTTTATTAAACTCTACCACAAATTACCTATTTTATTTTCTATAAAACTCTATCACATTAGACAATGATATATTTAAAGAAAATATATAATAATATAATAACACATATAAATATATAAAAAATATTTATTAATTAATCTTAAAATAGAACTCTATTACATATAACATCTGTATTTATCTATTTATTATGAGGTTTTTTAATAAAAGAAAATCTAATTAGACAAGAATATATATAAATAAAATAAAATAATTAAAAAATATATGAAAAGAAAAATTTGATAAATTATAAAACATTCATCACGTGCATCATCGTACGTGCCTTTTATTAGTGTGTATGTGTGTGTGTGTGTGTATAGGTGAATTAAAAAGATGTATGAAGTTATGGACTAAAAGGGTAGACAAACTAAGAAGAGTGCCATACAGACAATATTTTATTCCAATGGGTCATTATGTCCTTTCTTTAAGAATATCATTGCCACACAAAGCCATTATATTTACATTGGTTACAACAACACCACCATTGAAGAAGTTGGGAGTCATTTGGAATCGCTTGGTGAAGACAATGACACGCATATGGATGTGGATGGAATTTTTTTAAAGATGGTTTATACAGCAAGTATATGTAAAATTCAGGGGATGGCTATGGGAGATTGCAAAAATTATTATATGGTCCGAGACAATACGATATTGGCCAATCACAACTCGACAAGCAAATAAAAATGTGAATAAAACTGAAATATTTGTATACTTATTGAGTTGTAATTGGCGAAACTATGTAGTCTCAGATCATGTAAAAAAATTCCGGAGAGATTGGTCTTTAAATAATAAAAAGATTTTGATTGGACTTGGGCCTTAAAACTTAGTCACAGACTGAGTAGGCATGTATCGAGTCCTCCCTCCTAACAATTCCGTTATGACGAGATAGGTAATGTCTTTTTTATTCTAAAAGGTGCAACTATTGATAAGAATTTTTGTTGAGCGGAATGTATGGAAATAATAATAGTAATCCAAACCAAGCCCAGAAATGATAGTACTAATCCAAACCAAGCCCAAGACATACACCACTCAAAATTATAAATGGGCTGGATGTGGACAAAAGCTCGGCTGGTCCAGCTTGAACCCAACCCAATTTGAACTCACGCCTCTAAATATGCTATTTAATCTACACAAATGCACGTCCAACTTCCAACTTGAAATAAATTATTTATTTTATTTAATTCGAATTAGTGTGGTGATTTATTATCATTATATATATATATATATTCAAAAGGTACGTTAAGCAATCTCACACTCATATTTCAACTGAAGTTTGAATTTCGAACTTTTCTTTTAGAGAGGTAGGGAGGAGAAGCTTGTATTAGCTAAGCTATTGTTTATTTAATAAATATTTATATTTATAATATGGAAAGCCATTACACTATTCTATCTTTAAAAATAGAAACCCCCATCACTCAAAGCAATATATCTCTTTTTCCAACAACTCATATGACTTTACTGTTTCATTCTATTCTCTTTACAACTTGTTTTTACTTCTCATTTATTCAGGTAAATTCATTCTAGTATGTTTTATTACCATCATTTTCTCTTGATTTATTATTTATCATATGCTTTTAATTATCCAATTTGTGTGTTACTTGTAGATTTGCATATTAGTCCTTCTAATTGTCGATTGCTTATATGTTTTCTTAATTGCAGTATTAGTAATTCTTGTTGTTATTACTTGTTTTCTTAAAATATAATATAAGTACGTGCTTCAAATAAAATATAGTATACCTTAATTAGTAGCTAAGACAGAAAAAAGAAATTAAAGACAAAATTTAACTTAAATAGTACTCCTAGATAATAGTTAGTTAAATCATATGCATTTGGTTGGTTTAGAATCCTCATCACTCCAAACTACATATGTGTATATATTATATATATACTTATCATTTATCCATATATTAGACATGCACAAGACAGAATTACATTTTTATGGGTCCAAAATTCTTCTATCACAATCACAAATTAATATGATTGATGACTTTGTGTTTTTATAAGATTAATTTAAGTCACTGATTAGAGATAGGTTTGTTACGTGTAATTAACTTGCCACGTACCTCTACAATCCTTTCTTTCTGCATTTGATCTCTGGCCATGAATTGGGTAGAGAGAGAAAGATCGACCTAGAGAGAGAGAGAGAGAGAGGGGGGCCGTTTTGACATGGAGTGAAGTGTCAGTTAGCTCGGATGCAACGTCCCCTAGGATTTTCAAGCAGCAATTTGAAAACTACCTGCATTTGGACACACCTTATGAACTTGACAACAAAACAAAGATAATATTTTTTGATGTCTCCATCGATGTCTCTACTCCGAACATTTGCAGAAGTGATTCACAAGCTACATGCGTAGCCTTCCTCATCATCATTCAAATTTTGTTTATTTTTTAATTAATTTGTTTATTTTTTTGTACGTACAGATGTTATCATGTCGTTGATCCATAGACAAAGGTAATAATAGTTCTTGTTTTCCTGCATTCCAATTGGGATATATTACCTGTGTCCCTTGTTAGTTGTTTATTTTTGATTTTATTACTTTTCAATGGGACATGTAATTAATACATTATTTCTTTTTAAAATTATCAAATTGTCTTTTTTAATTTAAATATATAAAGTTACAAAGTTTGAATTTTTTTAAAAAGATAAAAGTAATATAAAGAAAAAATGCTTTGAATTTTCAAAGTGGACAACTAATTTGGGACATGTAAAAAGAGAAAAATGGACTACTAATAAGGGACGGATGGAGTAAATATTTGTGGTCTTATTAATTATATATTGTTGGGTAGTTGAATGAATCCCATATTAGTTAGAAAATAAAAAAAATCTAAAATTTATATGAAGTAAGGATCATTAATATCACCTAATAGGTTAACTTTCTGGGTTGGAAACTCACAAACTCAATAACTGGTATCAAAGGCAGGCAGGTTTCAGAGAAGAGAGCCTCCTTCAAGCGGTGATGTTTTATTTACCGGGTGAGCCTCTTTCAAGTATATCATTTCATTTAATAGATTAACTTTTTTGGTTGGACACCCACAAGTCCAACATATATATATATATATATATATATATATATATATATATATATAATTTGAAGCTAGCGTATATTAAATGTTTGCATGGTAAATGCCATTTTTACATGGTAAATAATGTTAGAAAAAATAGTACGACGTAAAATTTAATTGTAGGTGCGAGTGAAGTGGCAGTGACAGTGATCTGGTGGGCCTAAAATCGAAGATGCCCTACTAGACAAATAAAACGACACAAACCATATTAATGATATCACGAGCAAATATGTACTAGTACAAGCATTGCCCAATTTACTAGTAATAGTATATACTATATTAAAAAAGTTACATGGCTCATTTATTTACTGAGTACCTAACTGCAGTAAATGACACACCAATAAATAACCCTTCCCTTTCTATATATATTAATTATGTGTTGTAGCAGAGAATTTGGATATTCCTCTTTGTGTAGTCGTTGTTGCCTTTGGATGAGGAGAGAGAGATGTGAGCTGCTACACATATTCAGAGTTGAATATATAAATGAAATGTTACATCCTTCAGCCGAAAAATAAGAAAGGAAATAACTTCCTTCCAGATTTGTATGTCCCTGCACTTGTTCCGTTTAATATGCTAAAATTATGCAAAGAATCATGACCGATAATATCATAATCAATCTTCAGTTGAAAATGAAAAAGCGAGCATAAGTCATTAAGAATCCGAGTAAGGTGATGTGATGATGTCTCATATAGTTTGAAGGATATGTGTGGACGTCTCCTAACAGGATAAGCACATTTTAAAAATCACAAGCACAGATTATGCAAAGTAGACTATATCATAGGGCGGGTTGTGAGACAAAATGACTGATCATTTCTTTGAATTTTTAACGGTTAATTTAGGGTAGGAAGGAAAATTATAGATGAAAATCAGAAGGAAAAAGAGAGGCCATGTTTTGATGGCATAGGTGTGGGGGAGGGGCGGAGGAGCTGGAAAAATGTCCGTTGCCTGCACAAGCAATAAATGAGTTTTGGCAACACTAAAATACCCTTGTGATGATGAGTGAGGTGTTGTTGCATTGCATGCAATTTGCAAATCTATCCCATTTCTTTCCTATCTGCACAATGTCCCTTAAAAACACCTTCTTCTGATCAATAAATCCAAATCTTATTTATGAGAAACAGATTTGTTCAGACTGGCTCTAGAGAGCATCGTGCGGTGATGTTCCTCCAAGAAGTCTACCGAGTCAACGGCCGAGATATGATTGATTCATTATATATGATCAAATGTCATGATCAATTTTGCAGCACAACAATGAAATCGTGAATCTATATTGATTAATTTTCCATCATACCCTAAATTTAGCAATTAAATAAATCAAAGGACCCTTATGATCACTTCTTGTGATCTATATATATATATACCTTGATTAATTTACCCTACATACTAGTGTACGTCCAATCACATATATAGATCATGGGTTGATTTTGTGATGCATGTTATTGAAGCACAATATGTGTGGCTATTATCTTATCTTTTCTGTATATTCATCACTCGTTTCCGGTTGGATTAGTGGAGTTGAAATTTTTTTGCAGATAGGGTTTTGGCAATATGTATGAGGTGCCTGTGGTAGCAGTTTGGTCTGTCTTGTTAACAAGCCTTGTTTGTTTTTGGAATCAACAAGTCACGTGAATATATATATATATATATATATATGTATTTCTTTTAGCTCTCTGGTTAGCCCCTCCCCTTTAAAACACTTCCATTAATACTCTCTCCATTAAACCCTTTTCAGCCCCAATTAGTATATATCTCCCCATCTCATGAACCCTAGCTAGCTAGCTTTTTTTTTTTTTTTTTTTTCCTCTCTCTCTCTCTCTCTCTCTCACACACACACACACACACATGAGTACTCACCTCAATCCATCTACTTTTCCTTTTCCTTTTCCTGCTGATCAGCTCAGTGAAGATAGTCAACCGTACCATCATCTGATCTTCAGTACTACTCCAAACCTTCAAGCTTCTTCATCTTCTTCTCTCTCATACAATATGTTTTCTAGTTCAACTCAAGATCAAAGTGGTCACTATCATGCAGAGATACAACAACTACAACCTCAACAACAGGTATATATATATGTATACATACATATATTTTGTGTGTGTATTAATTCGATCAATTTATGGTTTAATTTCACTTTGAATATTTATCCTCTTCTAACCTAAGCACTTGAACCACTTTTGATGGCTTTTGCAATTCCTATATTTACGTTAGCATTTTTTTTGGAAATGATCTTCACTTTGATCTTGATTCTTGATTCTTGATTCTTGATCTTAGGCTAATAATTTCGCTTGGCATGGGGGATCATATGATCTAGAGAATGAGAGTGATAATGGCCTCAATTTATCTTTATGGAAGGAGAAAGAAGATAGAAATGAAAATCATATTGAGAATAATTCAGTGAAGTGGATGTCTTCAAAAATGAGGTTGATGAAGAAGATGAAGAAGTCGGATCAACTAACCGTTAGAGCACAGAAGTCGTCGGAAGATGATCGGAAACAACCAATATCATCTCCTACTGAAACTGATCACAACAACAGCAACATCCCAGTTAGGGTATGTGCCGATTGTAACACAAGCAAGACCCCTCTTTGGAGAAGTGGACCAAGAGGCCCTAAGGTAACTAATTAATACTCTTATCTTTCAATTTGCGGAAATTAATCACTACTTCAGGAATTTCACTACGATGAAAAGCAAAACAAAATTACAGAGTTCAGAATGATAACCACCGTCACTGTACTCCTGTAGAATTAGGGTTACAAGAAGTTGAATACTCAAAGTTAGGCTAAGGTGTATCATAAACCTAATATGATTCAATATTTCTAATAACACTTTTGAACTTATTTTTCATGTAACATTTTATTGCAGTCCCTTTGCAACGCGTGTGGGATTCGACAGAGGAAGGCGAGAAGGGCCATGGCTGCAGCTGCTGCTGCAGCTGCAAACGGCACAATTCTTGCACCTGAGGCTTCAACAATGAAGACTAAAGTGACACTCAAAAACAAGAGATCGAGTACCGGTCACGTTGCACGACACAAGAAACGCTCCAAATTCACCATCCCTTCTGATGATCATGGCAGAAAGAAGCTGTGCTTTGAGGATTTCTTGATAAATTTGAGTAACAATTTGGCTTTTCAACGCGTTTTCCCACAAGACGAGAAGGAAGCTGCGATCCTTCTAATGGCTCTATCTTGTGGGCTTGTTCATGGTTGAGTTTTCCATATTATCTTCATGCACTAGATCAGCATTAAATAAGCTTCTTTAATTCTTGATTTGAGTTAAAATAGGGCTAGATCGAGCATGTTAATTTGTGCTAGCTAGCTAGAGTTGAGTTTGATAGTGTGAGAGTGATAGAAGATCGATGTCTACTTAATTTATGAGCAACCAAAGTAATAAAAACAGAAATAAATGTGTGGTGAACTTATGAGCTTGTGGTAATTTGATTAGCAACATATATATGTATCTGCTGTTCATTTATATTTGCTTGAATTGTGGTATCAAGTTTTATGAAGTATAAAAAAGATTGTCTGCCATTAATTGTTTTCTTGCTTGTCTCAGTAGTTTAATTAGTTTCTTCCTTTCATGAACGTACTGGTATATATATATATATATATATATACTGATCTGATTTCTGTTAAGTATTAGGGTTCATCTCTTTAATTGATTCATGAAGATATGTGTGTAAATATTAGTGCAATAATTATTGAATTATGGCTCCAAAAAATAGTAGTACTTGAATGTAAGGTTTCACCAGATATTTAGCTGATGATCATCTGCATGCATGATATATATATATATATCGCATCAGTCCTACTACATAAAAATTAATATGTGGATAATCGAATTGGTATTAGATTCATGGACAAAATACATATTTAGTTATTTACACAGCTAGCAGCTACTACTACTTTTGGTTGTAGTTTGGTTTTATACAGAATGTGAGCTGTAACATAGGCTGGTGAAAAGAGAAATCAACAACTCATTTATACGGTCATCAATCATGAAATACGGTGAATATGTTGTGAAATTTAGCACTCTCACATGCTTAGAACCACTGGAGTACTTCCAGTTAAGAGCATACCCTATGATTTGGTTAAGTCAAAAAGTAAAAATAGAAAGTTTGACCGTCGAACAAATCTGACTAATTTTATGTCAGAAATGTCATCATGAATTAATGACATCAACCACACTCACATAAATGAGTTGGAGTTGTCTGATTTTCGAATTTCAAATTATTATTATCTTTTTCATGCTTGAATTTTAAACAAATAGAAGACGAGCAATTTCTCTTCATTCTTTCTTCTCTCTAATCCTCTCCATCCAAACGAGGTGCAATTTTTTGAGGTATAAATTGCATGTGATCAATTCTAAGTGTAATAAGCACTATAGTGTTGTGTTCCTATTACAAAGGATCATTTGTCTCACATCGGATCAGGATAGAAAAGTAATTAGGTATAAATGAGTAGATATGCAGTATTACACAACAACTTAAACTTTCTGGTAAATGGACAAACGCTTACCCGTTAAACTCCCATTAAAGATACAACTTGAGCATACTAAACCCAAACACAATTTGAGTCGAGTCCAATTTTTCATAAAATAGGGTATATATTTTAAATTAAATTCACTCTATTCTTTTTAACTTTCTTTTTCCAGACGTTATTTACTGCAATTTTTGTTTAGAAGTTTACATAAAAATCAACCTCGATTTTCAGTCTCATTTCTCTATCCCCGAACTGGATTTAAAAATTTTGAACTGTAAAACTTTTTGGTTAAAAGTTAGGTTGAATTGGGTTTGTACTATGTTGAAGCTTTATAACTTGGGCTGGGCCTCAATAAAACACTGTCTAACCAGCCCGACTTGTAGCTCCGACATGGACAATCGTCCAATAATAGCAAACCTACAGTAATCGCCCAATCCGGCTGGAACATCTTCAACGGTCACACTCTCCTTTGACTTCTCTCTCTCTCTCTCTCTCGGAATGTGCTAATTCTCAACTATTCCAGCCAACCTTTCCCTTTCTCTCTCTAGAATCCACCCCATTTCCTCTGTACAACAACGATATATAACCAAAAAGAAGATCACAAATTCTTCTGAAAGTGAGTAAAACACAACCTAGTTCACAGAATCTTGAAATATCTAAACCCATTGAGGAAGACGACCTCTCTCTCTCCATGGGTTCTGATTCTCTCTCTATCTTGACCTCAAATAATAATAAGCCGACACCAATCAAAACCCACGAAGAAGAAGATCCACCAAATCAAACCACAGCTCTTCTCTCCTTCGACACCGACACCTCCTCAACCCCTCCCTCCAAATCCACCACCACCGCCGTCATCATCATCTCTCTCATCCTCACCACCTCCGTCGCTATCTCCGCCGCCGTCTCCTTCGCCTTCCTCTTCTTCTCTTCTTCTCCGACTAATTCTCAATCTCAATCTCAATCTCAATCTCAATCTCAATCCCACCTCAATCAAACCTCTGAATCAATTGAAAATTTTGCTCGTCCTCTTACCAAACTCAACCACCCAGTTGTTCTCCTGATTTCATCAGATGGGTTTCGATTTGGGTACCAATTCAAGACCCCGACGCCCAACATCCATCGCCTGATCAATAACGGGACCGAAGCTCAAACGGGTTTGATTCCGGTGTTCCCAACCCTAACTTTCCCAAACCATTACTCGATTGTGACCGGATTGTACCCTGCTTTTCATGGAATCATCAACAACCATTTTGTTGATCCGCACACTGGTGCGACCTTCACTATGAGCAGCCACGAGCCCCACTGGTGGTTAGGTGAACCATTGTGGGAGACGGTGGTCAATCACGGCTTGAAGGCTTCAACCTATTTCTGGCCTGGTTCTGAGGTAATCAAAGGTTCTTGGACTTGCCCTGTTAATTTATGTAAACATTATAATGGTTCTGTACCATTTGAAGATCGAGTTGATACAGTTTTACAATATTTTGATCTGCCTAGTAGTGAAATTCCCGCGTTTATGACATTGTATTTTGAGGACCCTGATCATCAGGGTCACCAGGTTGGACCTGATGATCCTGAAATTACTGAAGCAGTTGGTAGAATTGATAGCATGATTGGGAGATTGATTGAGGGTTTAGAAAAAAGAGGGGTTTTTGAGGATGTTACAATAATTATGTTGGGTGATCATGGGATGGTTGGTACATGTGATAAAAAGTTGATCTATCTTGATGATTTGAAACCATGGATCGAAATCCCGCACGATTGGGTTCAGTACTATACTCCCTTGCTTGCGATTCGTCCACCACCGGGTGTTTCTCCATCGGATGTTGTGGAGAAGATGAATGAGGGATTGAAATCGGGGAAAGTTGATAATGGGAAGAATTTGAAAGTGTATCTCAAGGAGGAGCTGCCTAGTCGGCTGCATTATGTGGCTAGTGATCGAATTCCACCCATAATTGGGATGATTGAAGAGGGGTTCAAGGTAGAACAGAAGAGATCAAATCGGAGAGAATGTGGAGGAGCACATGGTTATGACAATGCATTTTTCTCGATGAGGACCATCTTTATTGGCCATGGTCCTCAATTTGCTAGAGGGCAAAAGGTCCCATCTTTCGAGAATGTCCAGATATACAATTTGATCACTTCAATTCTCAATATACAAGGAGCTTCAAATAATGGGACAGCAACATTTCCTGGCTCGGTTCTTTTGCCTAGTCATTGAATTCCATGTAGTTAGCATTTCCAGAGTGGTGTCTGCTGCGCAAGGATGGTTTGAATTGAGCAAGATGAATCAGTTGTGAAGCCATGTGCACTCTACTTGATGATAGATGAGCTAAAGGGCACGGTATTTGTGTTCTTACCGTCTAATTAGGTCACGTTTTCTGTTATGTTTGTTTAAGTTAATAATGGTATCTCCTCTACTTGATTGGTTCCTATTAATTATATATTTTGAACCAGATGTGTAGAATGGAACCACGAGTAATCATGTAAATGTTATCTTCATTTTTTATTCAGGTAGATGAATGTGCCACTTGTATCTTCAGACGGTATCCAATGTTGAGATGCTTTGAAAATTTCATCTTTGCATTAATTTGTATTAGATGCGTGAGTGTGTCCATAACGGCGTTGCACATTCAATCAGTTATTTGATTGTAGCAATGCTAATATGCTTGGAGGACTTTGCTGTCAAATTAGAGATGCAAAATGCTCCGAGTATCAATGGCACAACATGATTATCTGAGTTGTTGTTGATGGGCTTCATTAAATGTTTGGTTTCTTTGTGTCCTTAGTAACAGTGGAAGTTTGTGTAGCTAGGAGGAGAAAATGATGCATGCAAGGTTTGTGATGTGTAATATTTTGTCAGGTGACAATATATTATAGTTATTGCCTGAATCCATTAGCATGGACTATAGAACCTATATTAAATTTAGCTTTTTGCTTGTCAATGCCAGTTTTTACTTCCATTTTTACTACATGTATCAAAATCATGAACGATCATTGGCGCCTGGGATTAAGAAATTATCTTACACCATTTTGTTTGAGCTTCTTTGCATAATAGATCTGAACAATCTATGCTGCAGGGGCAAACATGAAACTGAGTTAGAATCCCTCTGAACTGAAATTTCAATTTTCCCTTCTTTTGGCATTGGCCAGTGAGCTTCTAAATTAGGTTATTGTCTTGACCAAATCCACAATGGAAAATGAATGAAAAGTGGATTTGTTTGTTTTTCACTGTAAACTGTGTATTTTTCTGTCATTGCAATTTAAAATTGAGTAATGTGAAACTAGCTTGTGTTCATACTTTTTTCTTTGTAACGAAACAAGAAGGTGTCCTCAAGTGTTGCAATTTGCCTAGCTTCCCTGTGTTATTCTTCGCATTCCTAACACCCATCCACTGTTAGGGTAATTGTTGGTGAGAGATAAATCTTCTCTGTCATCTTTATCTCATTATCTGCTATGTTTTTGTTCACGGACGCGACTTAAATTTTCTGATATTCATGATCTTGAAATTCCATAACAAATAGGTTTCTTATCTTCCAAGTGAAGAAACTGGAGTTGACAGAGAAAGCTTTGGGAGCATTTTCAGGGGAACATACCAGTCCTTGTTCTTGTTTTTCTTCCAAATTCATAGACTAGTTTTGAATTGTTTAACACACACACACACACAAGTTTATAGTCATTGCCACTGGTGTGGTCGTGTCGGGACACCCAAATTGCACAATAAAGCGTAGTGTGGCCAAATTTAAATTTATAGAATGTCACTACCATTACTAACTAAAATATAGTAAGAGTGAATAGGGATCGTCCCAAGGGATATGAAGTGTATTTGTGCTTGAAAATCAAGGTCGGATTAGTGGGTCGAATGATCAAAGACAGTTTGATTGGTTAATTAAATTACAATTTAAACTAAATAAAAGCAATGTGAAGCAACTAGAATAAATGGAGTGTAGAGAATATAAAAGAAAGGTCTTGGGATTTAGAATTCACCACTAAGCATTATCTTCCTAGACATTCAATGTTGGATGGATTAAGGGGAATATATGTTGTAATTGAAAGTGTGTGCCATTAATTGAACTAACAAGTATAGATGACTAAATAAATATACATTGTCTAGCCAAACTAGTGAATAGCACAACATATCAAATCAGTCATTATTTTTTTCTCTAAGTCCATAATTAATATACATCATCAAATTAGAGAAATATACTACTTGCATTCATAAGTATGAAACATCAAATAACAAGCATGGATTGTCCTCCCATCTAAGAAAGTAAGGCAACTACACTACAACTAAGCCAGTGACATGAAAATTAAACTAATTAAACTAAGGAGGAAGCACAACCCATCAAGAAATAAGTATGAACTATCAAACAAACCAAAAGAGTAATTTATTTAAGCATTATGCATTGACCATCACTAGATTCATAGTATCAACACACATAGACATGCATTAATATCACAAAATCTAGAGTTAAACACATGAACATCCATTCTAGCATACATAGACATATGTATAGAATTAAATGATCAATTGAAAATATTAAATTACACAAATCATTGTAGAAACAAGATTTATATATATATCAAAAGTCAAGACAAACATTACAACACAAATCCCCTTTAATTACAAAGCATCAAAGTCTAGGAGGCATGCTTAGGGCTATCTCTAGCCCCAAGAAAATGGTTTAGCCACTTATTGATGATGTCATCCAACCCTCAAGGGTTATCTCTATGGTAGAAATGGTCTTCTTCTCCTTGTTGGAAACTCTAGATGAGTGGAAGAGCTCTCTCAAGATGGTGTATATATATATCTCTCTCACTCTAGACTCCTCTCTATGGTTGTCTATCTTGTATATTTGGTTCCAAATGGCTAAAATCCTTATATAGGTAGCTCAAATGTCACATCCAATTGTCAGACCTCGTGCACTAGGACCTCCAAATGATTGCACCACGAGCACACCTTTTAATTAGCTAGAACTCTGTTTTTCTCACACTTGAGGAGGTTCGATCAATCATAAGGTTGGTTTGATCGATCAAACTAAGGCGGCGCCTTTTTGGAATAAAGACAAAGCTGAGATATTTTTTGGGATATTTTGGGAAAATGACAAAAGTAGTAGGTGGGGATAAAATAAAAAATGTTAGATCGATCGAAGGAATGTTAGATCGATCGAAGAGGGAAATTTCCTGAAGATAAGGACAAGAGACTCGATCCATCTTGGCATGGTTGGAACGATCACTGTGTGATCGATCTGCTTCCACTTTGCTCCTTTCTTCCACTAAGTTTGAGATTGCATCTTTTATAGTCTAATTCAGCTGAATTGACTTATTTCGATGATAAGTGCCTAAAAAGGGAAATAACATGAAATTAGACAAAAATGAAGAAATAAAATAGAATAAGGTTCTAGAATATTTAAACTTAAAAGGTTAAAATGTGCACTTTTCGACACTTACCAGCTAGTAATAGTTTAATTAGGGAAATAGGGTGTGGAGCAAGGGAACTTTCCTGGAAAAGTTGCTGTGATCTCACAATGTGAGAATGGTCCCACCACAGTCTTCATCATCCTAAAAGTGTTTTTTAGATGCATTAGAACCTGTCCACATGAGAATAAACTCTCTCTTTCTTTGATAATTTTCTGTGAAGCAAAAAGAATTTCATTGTAAACAGGTTCTGCACCACAAATCATAGACAAAAATAGAAAGGTAAAGTGACCATATAGGATATATTGCACTCAACTAAATATGACATGTTTGGACCTGGTAAGCAAATTTGATAATTCATTTTATTATATAATTTTATCATTTATTTATAGGATTCATGTTTCTATTCATCAAAGACAAAAATTTGCATTCCGAGTTTCTCTTTTTTTATTTGGGTTTGACTGAGGCTATAATCTTAAATAGATCCAAATGAAAATATAGAATTCATGAATCATGTAATCAACTCCAACTAATTGAAAAAGAGTTTGGTTGTATTATTTATTTATTTATTTGTTACCTTTTTACTTCAAATGAGTGAAGCAATATGAAAGCAAATTTTTTTCCCAACATAACTATTAAGCCAAACTGAGATCTGGGTTCATTTTTTTTTTTTTTTTTTTTTGAAAAATATCTGGGTTCATTTGTTACACAAGATTGGACATGTTAGATAACCTCTGATGGGCAAGATCTGAAAGCGTTCACCAAGAACTGAAAATAGAATAATAAATCAGCTCAAATAAAAAATATATATAAATAAAATAAAAAGGAGAGAAATCCTAAAATTTTGGCTGGGTAGATATAATAACATTCCGTACAAACCTCTTCCTAGAGTTTGGTTCCTCTCACAGAAATAGGGACACATCTTAGAGTTTTGATATATCCGCATCCTCTACTTTTTTTACTTATCCGAACCCTTGTCGGTATAAAAGTCAAAAAATACCCTTCTCTTTAATACTCCAAAAAAAACAGTCTCTTTGTTTTTGTTTTGTTTTTTTTTTTTTTTATAATTAAATTTTATAATTTTGTATCTGTTTTGACATTGGTACTTTTATTAAAAAGTATTAAGAGTGCCATTTTTGTAAAATTTTAAAATTATCTCTTTGCTTAAACTATCTGGGCCCGATCTTAACTGTCACCTCTTTCCTCATATTGAAACTTTTCCAGCAATAACAATAAAAATCTGATTGGATTATAAGAAAATAGAAATATCTTGCCATTCCACGTATAAAATTCATTTTAGAAAAAATATTCTCAATTTGAGTATCTTTACTCAATAAAAAAAAGGTGGCCATCTTTGTTTACAATATGTAACCCATCTACTGTTTCAAGAAACACCAATTTCCTTTTTTTTTTTTTTTTACGCCATTAAAGTAAAGGCATTGACCAAACAAAAAAGGGGCGAACAAATGGCCCCTGAAACACAAAATAACTTAACAAAAAAAAATGGAGGATCAATTTGGAGAACTAACACCAACCGAGGATCTCACTCAGCTAAAGCGTGATTGAATATTACATTTAAAAATTGTGAATGTCCTATAGCCTGAATGAGAACAAGTTGCACCCAATTTCTTTACAACTATTTTATTTTTGCATAAATTATGAACTATAACTCTATAAGAAAAAAATAATGAATATATGAAGTAAAAATAAAATGACAATTGTCTGTAGTCGTAATAAACAACAATAGTGTAGAAACAAAATATATTAAAAGACGGAAGTAGAGTTAGGGTTTTGATGGTAGCTAGGGTGGTTTGGCAGAAAATGTAATTTTGGAATTTAGGGTCGTAGTTAGGATAGTTTGGCCGAAAATAAATTAAGGGTAATTTTGAAATTTAAAGAAAAAACCACTTTTTAGGTTAACGTTGTTAAGTAGTATCTAATTAGACAAGGTGGTGTGTATGATAATTAAGTGATTCAAAAGTGTATTTGATAATAGTGGGATAAAATTTTAAGTATCATGAACATCATTTATCACTAATGCTGAACGTTAAAATTTTAAAAATTATCAAAATATAATTATTTTTTAAGTGGTAAAATTATCAAGACTTAATTTTTAATTTTATCAAATAACACCTTAACTGAAAAATGTATAAAAATAGAATCAATCTCTAATATATTTTTAAAAAGGGATGTTAAAATTTATACAAAAATATGAGAGTAAACTAAAAAAAAAAAAAACTCTTTCTTTTTTCATCTCTTCAAAGTTATTGGTATCTGATACCTAACTGATTTTTAGAATGAAAAATAATAAATAATGTAAAAGTATAATTAATTTCATTATTTTAGGGAGTCAATTTAATAACACCGTCATCAATCATAAACTCAGAGTCGATTAATAATGACATCATTATAATTCACACGTGGTTACTTTCGAACTCTATAATACAACTTTTTATAACTTATTTATATATATTTTTAATGTGAATATTATCTAGTGACCTAATTGATAGATCACACAACTCTGCCAATCAGATGCTCCCCTAATTTGTTAGGATAAAAAATATATAAAATATATAATTTTTATGTGAAATATTAAAAGTAAAAAATAAATTATCAAATTTTATAATCCATCATTTCTCAAGAAAAGAATATATAACCGTAAAAATTCAAGGGTGTTTCCGTCCAAATATAGTCATTATCGTCTACAACGTACAGTAAATATTGATGTCTATATATATTGTTACAGACAAAAAAAGCCTTTCTCTGTGTTTTCTTCAATGGCAGATGTTGTTATTTCACTTGGCTTCTCTTCTTCACTGTTGACCTCGTTCTCGTCGCCCTACAATTCCCTCCAACAGGACCTGCCATTAAATCAGAAATCGCATAAGAGGCTTCTTTTCTCTGTTGCCGATTCTTCTACTGGTGCTCATTTTTCCTTCAGACCCAGAAAGCAATTGCTCTCTTTCAAGGTACAAATACTTGTTCTTTTTTTTTTTTCAACTCAATACTCGCTGTTTGGTTGCTCAGAAAACAAGGAAAATTAAGCACGGACTGAAAATTTTGGAGTTTTGTCGATGTTTTCCCGTTTGATTTAGCTCGAATTAACCGAAAACTCAAGTGAATTGGGCCAAGTAGTCGTATTTACCTTGAGTTGTTGATATTTTCCCCCTGGTTTTCTTGTGTCCATGTTGAAGAAAATGTGATAAATTCTGATCCTCAAAATTAGTTTCTTAATAGGGCTCACTCGAAAAAGAGAACCCTAAAAACCCTTTTGGTTGCTAGGAAAATAATTCAGAAGATTTATATGTCGTAATTATTTTGTTGTGCACCAGATTATATTGCAGTTATATGCTTTTGTTTGTAATTTGAATTTGAGATGAACATAGATGATTGCCAGAGATGTTTGTGTTATGCAATTAATAATACTAAAAGTTATTTTCTATACAAAAGCGTTCAGGGTTTTCAGAAAGCTGGTTTAGGATTTGGATAAAATTATTGCTTATGTTTTTTTTTTTTTTTTTTTGGCCTAGTTGGTACTCACACACTATGAGACATACTCACACACACGGCTCGTAAGAGACTTGAACCCCTAACCTAAGAGGCCGATACCGCTAGGCCACTAGCCGGTTGGTAATTATTGCTTATGTTATTAGAAGAATGAAATCTAGATCCATTTGGTAAAATGATTTGTCTAGGTTTTGTACTTCTGCAATAACTATGTTTGATAAAACTGATAATGAAGTACTAGAAATTTTAAGAGCTAATTTTATGTAGTAATTGTAGTAATTGTATATATATATATATATATATATATATATATATATATATATATATATATTGAATTTTATGTGTTCAACAACATTTAGTGGCTAGTGAAGTCACAAATCACAATCACTTAAAATTTTTACTCATTTTATGTGGCACTCAAAATGCGTTATCAAACGCACTTATTTGAATAAGCATTTCATCTATTCAGAATTAAGTGCTTAATTGGGTTATCAAACAGCACCATTATTATAAGTGACCAATTACACCATTGAAGTGACTGGCCCGGTTAGTAAGAGAAAATTGGGAGCTTTTCAAAATTTTCTGGTTTAGGTTGTTAGGAAAGAAATTGAACTTCTGCCTCCTGAATTTCGACTGCTTGTTTTCTTGTTTTAGAAGAAGTCCTCTGACAGCCCTTCTCTTGTAGTTTGGTTGGAGACTGAAACATTCATACAATGGTATTTTCGACAATAATTAGGTTTTTCTTTCTGAACTTCCAGTAGGGCCGTGAAAATTTGCTTCATAGATCTTTAAGAAATATATGTTTTCCATGATTATCTGATTCAATCAATGTTAATCTTTGTTATACTTGGTGCATCTTTTTTTACCCTAAATTATCTTTCTTTGATGTTAATTCGTACAACAGATCAAAAGGCTAGTACTATGAAGAGTTAGTTATTAAATTTGTTACTTAGGCACCTCCATGTATTTCTGGTTAACACATCAATTTTTTCTTCAATGTTTTGGTGGATCTCATTGTAGGCTGATTCACAATATCGGCTTATGTATTATGATTTTTACGAAGGCTTTTTTAAAACCAAAATCCCCCTCTTGAGGACAAAACCAGTATAGGCTAGTTTCATGTATGATTTTTTTATTTTTTTCCCTTTCGAGTGTAGAACTTAGAAATTTAGTTTGAAAATCGTACAGAATCTACTTTTGATCTAAAAGCTAGAAACTTTAGAAAATATGATTGCAACAACAATAATATTTTATATGACTTAATTTCTAGCCAAACTCAGCAAATAAGTCTTAAAATGGAGATATCTCTTATGTTTCCTCAAATGTATAGTTTATTCTTGGTTTCTCACTAGTCCCTTCCAAGTCCTGGATGGGATATTAATTAAACTAGTACTATAGTTCACTCAATACTCTTCTGCAGTTGGGTTTTATAATTATGAAATTGAGAATTTGGAGGTGGCTTCTATGTTCTTCGATTCACTTCCACTCATTTACAGGATGTTGTGCGGAGATGGTTCAAATTTCATGATTTCTTGGCTGATCTGGTATATTAGCTGTTAAAAGAAACACACACTTCTTCCGTGATACTATTCTAAAATATACTGATATTTTACGAAATACACGAGAATATGCATAAATTACTTTCTTAGGGTCTATTGTGTTCTTTTGTTGGATGCTTCACTTCAGGTACATGCAACTATTGCCGAAACTGACCAGCCAAAATGGTGGGAAAGAAATGCAGGACCAAATATGGTTGACATACATTCTACACAAGAATTTTTAAGTGCCTTAAGTCAGGCTGGAGATAGACTAGTTATTGTTGATTTTTATGGAACTTGGTGTGCTTCTTGCCGAGCATTATTTCCCAAGGTAACTTTTGTTGACCATTTCTTTATGGTTTTATGCCTTACCATCAATAGTTGTTGTAATTCTTACAAAAAACGGGCTTTTATACATTTAGTTGAGTCTTGCTTTCAACAACTTCAAAATAGTCTAAATGTTATTTGGAGTTCTTACTTCCAGGTCAAAATTTATACATATATACCAGTAATGAACAATGTAAAATAAAATCACACTAAAGTGGTTTTAAGTAAGGGCAATGGAACGTTACTAGAAATGCATGCTACTTCCTTCATCTTTCCCCCAGCTTACAGGGAAACAAATAATTGAAACATCCTAATATGATAGCCTCCCATGGTTTTAAGTAAATGTAATGGGAATATTTCTTTGTATTTTGTGTAACTAAGACGTGGATACCATAATATTGGGGATGGCTTGACCCTAGGTAACTGTATGCTTCATGTCCATTATACATACAACGGGTGAAAAATCTGATTTTTTGGAATATAGCAAAAACGGGGAAAAAAACAAAATAAAAATAAAAAGAGTGAAAAGTTGGGCCTTGAATAATCACGCCTGGACATGACATCATGGGATCATATCAACCATTCCGGTCATGAATTGCTACACCTTGTTCTTGTGATGTGATGGTGTTACGCAACAGTGAGGATCATTATTTAAACATTGCACAATATCTATGAATTAGTGTCATATTGTGAATCTCAAAATGGTATTGGGTTTCCCTTGATCTCTTTTGGGCTGTAAGCTGACTTATGAGGAAACTCACAGTCTATGGTGTGTCGAAAATTACATGCTAAAGAGTCCGCCAGAGAAGACTACTACAAGGAGTTACTCCTCCAGATTAAGTATTTGGAGCTGGAAGTGTAAAATTAGAAGGGCAAGCATTTGAATGGTGAAAACTATCTGACAACACTCTTATTATTATTTTTTTAATGCAATATGGTTTTCTAATGTTGACCTTAATTATTCTTGTTTAACTGCCAATTTTTGTGATCTATGCAATACATGATTGACTGATTGAACTTTCGTGGAATGTTTAAATGCCATCTTAAAAAATAGATTGCCATCTGTTTTCAATTTAGATTTTTGTACCTTGAGGTTTTTTGGCTGACTATCTTGTGTTAATTTGGCAGCTTTGCAAAATTGCTGAACAACACCCTGAAATCTTATTTCTGAAAGTAAATTTTGATGAGAATAAGCCAATGTGCAAAAATTTGAATGTCAAGGTGCTTCCTTTTTTCCACTTCTACCGAGGAGCTGACGGACTTCTGGAATCTTTTTCTTGTTCACTTGCCAAGGTACATACTTCTTCCCTATTTTCATGCACAGACTTTGTTGGCACGTATATATCCAAGGCATGAAAATCTTGAATTTGGTTGTTCAGAAGTTGTAAGAAAAGAAAGTCGGTCATAGTGTCATTTAGAGTTGTTTTTATCTTCTTCCTGGCAATCAGACCAGAGCATTCCTTTGATAGAAATGCTGGACATCAGAATTAAGTTTGATGTACATTAATCTCTTTGATGGGGGTCGAAAGTGGCAACTTTTTTTCCTTTTCAATTTGTGGCTCCTATGGACTACTATATCATAAACAAAGGTAAGAAAAACAAGTGATATATGCAGTAGTAAAAATTCTATCAACATCTCATTACTCTTTTTAGAGATTCTTAAATGTATTTTTACCAATGTTTACATTGAAGTGTTATAATTGAACTCTTTGATAGAAAGTACAATTTGTGGTGTTGTCTACATCAGAATGATTAAGTTAAAATAGTGAGATTGCAAGACTAAAACATAGAGGAGATTTGACAACATTTAGGAACTTGGTGCTTAAGAAATAGGGGAGAGTCGTCATCTATTGAAATGTAACCAGCGGACCTATGTCGCGTGCTTGTAATAGTGTAATGTTAGATTTCCTTTTTTCCCTTTCTGTTTAAGATGCTTTATGACTGATGGAATAAATGATTCTTTATAACTTCTTGTGCTTCTGAAAACAATTTGCAGTTTCAGAAAATAAAGGATGCTATTGAAACACACAATACTGTTCCGAAGGACAAAGAAGCAGGGTCTTATTCCACATAAAGTATTGTTTTGACTCTCCCGTCTATAATGGGCGAATCCTTCCATGCTTGTCATGCAGAAATGTTTTGTATATTTGCGTTTTTATTTGTAGGCAGAGGGTGTTATGATGCTGCATTATTTCTCATTATTGATCCGGTTGTAATATAGTAATAATCTTATTCTGAATTTGTTAAAAATGTAATTTCCCATCTGAGTTTATCTAACGGCTCTTCATCTTTTTTTTTTTTGGTCCTCCTCGTGCTTTTCTTGCTCACTAATAGGTCTGTAATCTAGTTGAGCCGAACAGAGCTAGGCTGTTTGAATTTGAGGTGAGTCCTTTCCTAGAAATGTGTCCTTTTGGTGTAACTGATTTTTTTTTTTTTTTCAAAGGAAAATCCAGATTATTATTGTTGGACTTACTGCTGATCAAATTAGATCATGACACGTATAAGAATATGACACATGGTGTATGCAGCAAAACTGAAAATTATTGACTACTTTTGGGTACAAACTATGTAGTATTTTGGCCAATTCACACTGAAATAATGATTCATTATTGATGGAAGTACTATATTGTCGGTACTTTCGGATATCCAGTAATTTTTTCCCTTTCCAACCATAATCACTTCAAATCGTTTCTGTTTCTCTCTCTAAATTCTCTCTCAATATACTCCATTTTTTTCTGTGAAAATCTCCTAGAGAAATGACGACGTATGGTACAATACCAACATCATCTCTCCCAGAATCATCACAGCTCCAGTTTGTTTCCCGCGCAAAGGAATGGATCAGAAATGGGCTCAGCCCGCGACGGCCATGGAAAGAGATGGTCTCCATGCAAACCATCACCCTTCCGGCTGACTTCCCCGACTCTCTATCTCGGATGAGAATGAACGTGGCCTACTTCAGCCCCAACTATGCCATTGTCGTTGTCCTCATCCTCTTCATCAGCCTCCTCTGGCACCCTATCTCTCTCATTGTCTTCGTCCTCGTTATGATCGCTTGGCTGTTCTTGTACTTCCTCCGCAATGAGCCGTTGGTGATCTTTGGCGTCGAGCTCGACGATCGCATGGTTCTGACTGGCTTATCGTTGGTCACCGTTGCTTTGCTGTTTTTGACCAATGCATCGGTTAACATTTTGGTGGGGCTGTTGTTCGGAGTTGTGGTGGTTATGGTTCATGGCGCGTTGAGGAGTACCAATGATTTGTTTTTGGATGCTGAAGAGGGGGCTGGATCGGGGATGGTGTGGCGCGGCGTAGGTGATGGTGGTGGTGGTGCGAGGTTGCCTCCTATCAAAGAGACGGTGTCTTCTTCTACTTGAACACAGATCATATTTTCTCGTGTTACGAAACATCTTGTGCCAACGCAATAATTTCACATGTTCATACAATAATTTTACGTCACTTATGCAACCACCTTAGATTGCTTACCCAATAATTTAACATTGCTGAATTGCAACCGATGTATTGTGTTGTGTTATATGAGCAGAATGCAAATACAGGATTCCAACAAAGGAGATGATTCGTCAAATATGTCGGGAAAACACGCAAACAATGTTTTCCAAACAAATACTTCCTATTTCATTAATTAATTAAAACCAGTTTTTAATTTTTAATATTATTTTTACTATAATTTAATTGTACACTAAAAAGTTATAATATTTTTTCTTGGTTAAAAAGATTTCTTAGAAAACTAAGAGTTTGAGGGATATACTGCTGCAAATGCTCTTGATAGATTAATTTTATATTGTCATTAGGTGAAGACTCAAGAAACCAGTTAATTATTTTCATTGAAATCGAAGTGAGAGACATTAATGTGTTCATATTAGATAAACATGTATTAGAAAAACTCAGTTTTTGTGTGTAAACTTTAAAGATTTTCTTGGTTAAAACTATTTGTATTATGTCTGTTTAAATCATTTGTATTTGAATTTTGAATGAAGTGCCTTGTTTTATTTTTTTTGGTGCATAAATTCGTTTGAATGGAGTGATTTGGAGGAATTTGAAAAGAAAAGAAAGGATTTTGAAAATCATGTTTGGATAGTTTTCAATGAAGAGAAAGAAAGGATTGAGAGGGATGTGAGTAATGAGTAAGTAATATTTTTGTAATATCAAAACTATCATCTTATAACATTGGACTCCTATTTTGTAAGTTATAGATGTTATAAAAGGGTAAGAATAGTAATTTAATTCTTAACCTCTCTCTTCTTCTTCTTCTTCTTCTTCTCTTAGTTTTTTTTATTTCCTCTTATTTATCTTTTTCAAACAACAATACTATAGTTTCTTTCTTTTGCTTCGTAATTAATCCAAACATGAATAAAAGTTATTGTTATCTTTTCTTTTCTATTATCCTACAACTAATATTATTCTTTTTATTCTTTTCTTTGGAAGCCAAAGCGTTCTAAAGTGTTAGAATATACTTTTCTCTTCTTTTTTATTTTTATTTCACAACTTCATTATGTAGTTATCAATAATATTTATTCATTGTTTTAATTAATTAAATATAGCTTGGACTCCCCTGTTTCACATAATTCATTTCTTTTTTTTATGATATGTTGTCCACCTTTTCTATTATTTTGGGAAATAATAAAATCGGATCATTTTCCAGTGACATGATCATGTAATTGAGGATAAGTTGGACAGCCATAAACCATTTTAATATTTTAAATAAGAAAAGCAATGTCACTATATTTAGTACTCCGTAGAACCTTTGTGAAAAAAAAATTACTGTAAGTTTTAAATACATCTGTTTTTGGGTAAATAAAAAGAACATCAAACCATAAAAAGGCTGCGTTTGCCGGGAGTCGAACCCGGGTCTATTGCTTGGAAGGCAATTATCCTAACCGTTGGACTACAAACGCAAGTTGTGCTTCAATTTTAATTATTATTTATTCTGACATTTGAATACAAGACCTTGCTACTCTAATACAAATTTTTTTATTTTTTTTCTTTATTTTGAAAATCTAATAGAATTTTTTTTTTCCAAAGAAAATTTAATACATTTAAGAAGTAGAAATTTTGACATGGATTTTTACGCTCAGTCAAAAGATTCAGAAGAATGCAATTAAGAAATTATAATATCTCCAAATAGAGAATACCATTCATTCATTCAATCATGAAATCATTTATTCATTATAATGTCACCTAACAAACAACAATTATAGAGAACAATTCAAGTTTTTGCTCTGCTTCACTCACATGAACATCAAGAAGGCCTTTTGCATCCGTTCAAACCTGAACCGCAATGAAACACTTGAAGCTCACATTTTGGCGAAACCGCCTTCAGCAGCAGCCTCGCCGTGTCCTCTTGCCTCACCACCGCCTCTTTCTTCTCCACCAACACTCCCGCCACAATCCTATCATACCCACCACCGCCACTTGCAACATACGACACCAACGCCGCCTGCACCGGCCCCAAACTCGGATTATACGCGGCGGACTCCATATATGACCCTCTGTAAATCATCCCCTCAACATCCATCAATGCCACCCCAGATGGACAACCACTGTACAAGGCATGAGAGTTATTAGCAGCCTCAAGTGCTGAAATTTTCAACATGCTTTCATTTTTCGCGAACAATTCGCATAACCCATTGCACAAATTACTAGAATTACCAGAATTTGAATCAATAGTTTCACTCAGAAGCCATAACCCATTATCGTGTGGCTCGAGAAGCAGAGGGGTCTCTTTATCTAAGAGATCAAAAGGGCCAAATGGGTTGGGGAGGATTGACAATAAGGGTTTGAATTTTGGGGGTTCTTGGGATTCGTTCTCGGATGATGATGATGTGATGAAGATTTGGATGTCGGACGCGTTGCGGAGTTCTTGGAGGAATTGGCGGCAGTGGCCGCAGGGGGCAGCGGAGACCGCTATGTAGAGGAGGCGGGGCTCACCGTGGACGGCGAGGTTGGTGGCGAGGAACTGCTCGGCGTGGACGCTGTGGTGGAGGGGGAGGCCGGGGAATTCGAGGTTGACGCCGAAAAAGATCCGGCCATCGGAGCCCAGACCGACAGCTCCAACGGAGAACTTGGAGATTGGTGGGCGTGCGAGGTTTTGAGCTGGTTTGACGAGCGACGTGAGGAGTTGGAGGACTGAGAGACCTGACTCCTTCACCATTGATTCGACCTCTGATGCTTCAATCGCAAATTTGGCCCCATCCATTTTGTTTATATAATATATAGAGAGAGAAATGTATGAGAATCTTGAGAGAGAAAAAAGTGTGTGTACACAGAGAGAGACAGAGAGAGAGAGAGAGAGAGATGGGGAGGCTTGGAGGGAGTATATGAGCTGATGGGGGAGAAGGAAGTGTTGGTAGAGGTGTATATTATAGAGCCGTCATCTGAAGGAATAGATTTTTAACTACCGGTAAATTCTAGTAGTGCTAGGTAAATTAATGTAAAACATTTTTAAAAAATATATATATTTTTTGGTTTTTTGATATTTGGTTGTCATAAAATATTTGTAAAGAAAAATAAAAATAAAATTTACTCATTAATTTTTGACTAATTATTTTACACGTCTCACCTGATAGATTCCACTTCAACCTCAACATAGACCTTTGTCGAATATAAAAAAATATAATATAAATAAAATTTACTCATTAATTTTTGATTAATTATTTTATACGCCTCACCTGATGGACTCGACTTCAACCTCAACATAGACCTTTGTCGAATATATATATATATATATATATATATATTACCTAAAAAACAAATATTTTACAATAAAAATTATTTATGTCGGAACAATCAGAGCTAAAGTTAGGTTGTAGATTATGTTTAGGGAGAGAAATTTTGGTTTTGAATTGGATGCCAGATTTTGAATGAACTGATTAACAATTTTTTTAAATTGTCTGAAAATTAAAGTGAAATTACAACAGAAATATTAAGAAGCTAATCCGTGCTTTAAACTTTGGGGAAACATATCCAAAAAAAAAAAGGGAGCAAACATGCTCCTATAAAATAGCATATACTGCACTTTAGGGCTTTCTTATTTTTTCAAAGATTCATTACCGAAATCATAAAAATATCAGTCAACTTCCCACAAGTGGGATGCAACCAAGTTATGGCATCATGAAGCCCTTCATTTTTAGTCTTTTTAGACTACTATATATTTTATCATAATTTTCAATATCAACATTACTCAATGATCTTGGTTGAATGTTCAATTTTTTATTTTGAAGTGAACATAATCGTCTTCGAGTCGAACTCCAAACAAAGGTGATAAATAAATTAGGATATGCCTTTGGCTAGGGACAGATGCCCTTCCCAAGGGATGGTGACATAAAAACTTTATATATATATATAATTAATGGGTCATGGTTTAGCGGCATTGATCTCTTTTACTTTTCAAATAAAAGTTGAGAGTTTAAAGAAATATGAATGTGTGAGTATTTAAGAATATATATGTGTATATATATATATATAGTTGGTGCAAGCTTGCAGGCACTAATATGTTATTCTGTTAGTACCATTTGCTTATCAGAATCCAATTACAGATGCCATTTCGTTGTCAATAGTTTTGGAACTTGCTTATCTATCCTCAACTCCTTTGGCCCCTAGCTTACCTACCCAATCTATGGTGACAGCAGACTCTTTTGGATTTTTATGGAGGCAACAATCTTATGTAGTTTGGTTGCATGTGTTTATTGAAATTGAATTTGGTTTGTCTTTAAGTGCACAAGTGAGTATAAATTACTTCTTATCATTCATTGCTTTTAAAAGCTTAGATGGGTTGTCTTTTACATGACAAATCCATGTAAATTGAAAAACTAGATGACAATGTGACTAACAATTCTTGTGCTTCAACTAATCAAACTCATTTACAAAGATTCAGACACGTGGATAAAATTTTCTTACAGAAACAGTGGAGAGACATTAGGAAGAGATCAAAATTTTCATATTACATTCTTTCCTTTTCATTCATTTTCCTCGCTCCTTCGAGGAACCAAATTGGGTCAAAAAAAAAAAAAAAAAAAAAAAACCCAGTTCAATTGGTTAGGTTCTCGTTTTTGTAAAATTTATAGAGGGTCGAATATACGCAATCTTATCTCATGTACGATAAAAAAAACTTTCTGATTTTAAATCTGTGATCACTGAATCATAATGAAGCAATAAAATTTTATATTATCAACATGCTACGACAATGTGACCCATTTATGTATATCTGCAATAATGTGATCAAATTGTGCTGATAAGGTATTCTCTATGCCCTTCTTTTAGATATGGGACAGTTATTTTTTAAGCTATCACATGTTTGGCCGGTATCAAAGATGATGTGTGTCAAATGCAATAATTTTCCAACTCTGCCCTGATTTGTACTTGTACAAGGATGTGGGAACTTGAAAACAAGATACCGCTTCTTCCTCTGCATTTTTTATGCTGAAATTGCCGTAACACTGTAACCAACTACATACTAATATATTGGCAGATTGCTGGGAAGATTAGTGTTTCTGAGCTTCCGTGAATTCTCTTAATACGTAAACACATTCTATAAACTTCTTCTTAGAATGTTTATCCCAATAATTATGGGTCTGGTAACAACCACCGATTGGGTTTCTATCATTTACCCTTTTGAAATTTAATCCGTATTTGTGAAATAATGAGTTAATGCCGAAACATGTTCACATATCTGTGTGTGTATTTATGTCAAGAGCATAGATGCTTTATGTTGAACATCAAAACTGTGATAGTTTCTCTAAGTAGAAAGTCCAATGTTCAAATCATCACAACATCACAAGATTATCACGTCATCACAAGAGCATCTGGTTATTAGAGTGCGTTAAAATAATAATAATAATAATAAAATTTCTATTGATTTATGCAAGAGTAGTGACAACCGAAATGATTTTGATTGGTTATTTAAGACTGAATACAAGTAAATAGAAGATCTCACTCCCTTATTTGTTGCATGAATAACTAATTAAAAACAATCATTATCATGATAACATTAATATCTTAAAAAGTCATGATAACATCACCCTCAAATTACATAAAATTAAAAGGAGTGTTAGGGTCAGACGGTTAATTGCTTGGGCATAAAAAGTTAAGTGATAATAAGAGGGGTAATTTGGTCATAAAAAATCAATGGTAAAGTTTCATAAAAATAGAAAAATTTATTAATTATAAGTTTAATGATTGTTTTTTTACAAACAATCAAAAAAACTAGTGGAAGACCCAAACCACTGCCCGTAGCACCCCTCAATTAGTTTAAAAAAAAACCTATGTTGAACACACAGAACTGGCCCAAGTTTCCAAGTAGGTAAGCACTTTTAAGTGCTAGTATAATCACCTAAAACGAAACACCCATCAGGTACACATTTAAGTGTGTCATTCCCACTCCTGGTCGGTGCCTCTGTCTATGACTCTCTATACCTTTAATATACCCAATGCACAGTTGTGTGTGTGTGTTTTGGCCTATGTTTATGAATTCTTTAAACCTTGAATGAATGTTTCCAATGCACAATTCAAAACAACTGTACAGAACACTAAAAAACACACTCTCAATTTAAAAACACTAAAACAACTGCACAAATGAGTATAAATTGTTTCTAATCGTTCATTGCTTTTAAAAGCTTAGATGGGTTGTCTTTTACATGACAAATGCATGTAAATTGAAAAATTAGTGGGCAATGTGACTAACGATTCTTATGCTTCAACTAATCAAACTCATTTACAAAGATTCAGACACGTGGATAAAATTTTCTTATAGAAAGTGGAGACATTAGGAAAATATCAAAATTTTCATATTACATTCTTTCCTTTCTTTTTATTTTCCTCACTCCTTCAAGGAACCAAATTGGGTCAAACCAAAAAAAATTATACTAAAAAGGGCTAGTTCAATTGGTTAGGTTTCCATTTTTGCGAAATTTGTAAAGAGTCAAGTGTACGCAATTTTATCTGTGTTCGAAGAAATTGTTTCTGATTTTAAATCTATGATCTCCGAATTTTAATGAACCCATTTATGTATGTATGCAATAATATGATCAAATTGTGCTGACAAGGTATTCTCTGTGCCCTTCTTTTAGATATGGGACAGTTATTTTTTAAGCTATCACATGCTTTGGCATCGCCGGCCTTGACATTGAAAAAATCTTAAGAGGTCCTAGGTGAATTTTAAATGTGAAGCCCTCTATACATAAGTTTCACGTGCACAAAAATATATATATATATATATATATATATATATATATAGAAGTGCAAAATTTTCATTAAAGTAAATGTGATCGTCTTACATTTTAAGCTGCAAAATTATCAATTAAATTGCTCAAGTCAACTTTTTCCAACAGATCTTTTTCAATAGACAACATAGCTAATCCATTCAATCTCTCTTGTGTCATCGTCGACCGCAGGTAAGATTTAATTAACTTCAACTTTGAAAAGCTTCTCTCAGCAGATGTAACTGTAACTGGAATAGTCAATAATACTCTATATGCAATCCAAGCATTTGGAAAACAATAACCAAGCCTTTTTATAAAATTCAATACTTCAATTGCCTTTTTTGTTTCTTTTGGTAAATCTTCTTTTAAGACTTGTAACTCTAAAAATAATTCAGTACCATCAATATCAGAAACCATTTTATGTTTTAGAATATTTTCAAGGTTATGACATGAACACTTTAAACTATCATTATCTACAGAGTTTAACCTCTCCAAATTAAACAAAAATCCAAAAGAGTCATCATATTGTTGAAATTGTTCAAATCTACTCTTTAGTGAAAAAAGAACTTGATCGACTATATATATAAAGTAATTAACTCTAAACGATTTTTCGGCCGATTGTGTCATCTCTTCATTAGGACTCTCATTAAATTGTTTCTTTCTACGAATGACACATCTTTCACGGAATAATGGTTCAACTTCCATTTCAGTTGCAATCTCTTTAGCCTCAATCATAGCAAATTTAAATCCATTTTCTCTATAAGTTTCAAACAATGAAATGAGTCCTTTTAAGAGATCTATAGCAACATCAATTTGCATGTCTTCTGTTTGCATGATTTTGCTTACTTTGTTAATAGCATTCAATATATCAAACCAAATAACTATGTAAGAACTCAAAATTCTCAATTTCATATGTAGCTAAGCACTCAGCATCACTCTTTGTTTTGGAATCTTCACTAGTATTTGCTAAGTGAATTAAAACATTTCTTATATCTGGAGCTTGAAATCTTATTGCTTTAACATTTTCTAGTTGATCTTCCCAACGTGTTTGTGATGGTGGCTTAAGTGTAAAACCTTTAACATTGTCTGTGAGAACTTTCCATCATTTTGTAGAAGATGA